AAGCTCAAAAATGGAGAACTACGATGAGGAATTTGCCATGATGGTCAAGCAATTCCGGAAGTTTAAGAAGTTCTTCAAGAAGGCTGATTCAATCAGAAGGCCAACCAAGGGAAAGCCACAAGTAAGTGACTCCCCTCCTGAATCTTATTTATGCTATAACTGCAGGAAGCCTGGCCACTGGAAGTCAGCATGCCCGTACCCAAAGATGGAGAAGTACGGAGAAAGAGAAAGGAACAAGAAGAAAAAGAAGGCAATGGTTGCTGCTGAAAGTGATGAGTCATCTAGCTCAAGCTCGGATGAAGAAGCCCTCGTTTGCATGGAGCACAGAGTTGAAAAGTCCAACCATGAGGATAGGTGGACTATGTCAGAAGATGACACACTTTGCCTAATGGCTAAAGATGATGCTGATCAAGAGGTAACTTCCCAAACCTCCTGCTCATCTTCTTATGAAAGCATACCAACTTCTGAAAATCTTTTTGACCAGTTCAAAAAGATGATGGTAGATTTTGAGGAAATAAATCTCAAACATTCTTCCTTAACAGAGGAGAACAAACTATTGAGTGAAGAGAATCTCAAGTTGACTGAAGGTCGGAAAAGTCAACTGGATGAGATCACTCAACTCAAGACTGAAAATGAATCTCTCTCTGAAAAGGTGAAATCCCTTAACAAAGAACTAGGGACACTTAAGTCCAAAGAAGCAGTGAATAAGCTTCTTGAAACGACCAAACATAAGGGTCGTGAAGGACTTGGGTTTGACCCCTCCAGTTCCAAAAGAAAAGGGAGAACAACTTTCATCCCTCCTAAACCTACTGCCAAACCAAATAAGCAGAAAGGAAAGGAAAAGGAGAAACCAACAGAAGTTCCCAAAAAGGTAGTCCCTCCTAAGAACTATAGGAAGCTGGACAAACCTCAAAAAGGAAATAATTTCAGAAGAAAACCTTCTAACCCTCATTATACACGAGGCTATACTCATTATGGGGTAGATAGGAGTTTTCCAAAGAATTCTGAGTGGAGAACTATTCCAAGATATAGTCATCCTCCACCCCAGAAGCTATTTGTGCCACCTAAGTATACTTATAACCGACACAGGACACACTATGCACAACCTAGACAAAACTATAGATCTTATCAACCTAGGTTTGCTTGGAGGAAACAGGAAATTGCACCTCCTGCACGTAGGAAGTTTTATGCCTACAACTATGATTACAATCCCAACAAGTTTAGAGCTGCAAGGAAAATTTCCTGCAACTTCAAACTTGATGTAGGGACACACACCATTAACTACTCCGGACCCAAACTTAATTGGGTACCAAAATCTTCCTCCTCCTAATGCAGGAAGCCGCTCAGTACCCAGGTGTCTGGTACTTAGACAGTGGCTGTTCAAGACACATGACGGGTGATGCGAGCCTTTTGAGCAATCTAATTCCCTATGATGGTCCAAGAGTTACTTTTGGAGGAAGCAATGATTTCGGCCTTACCAAAGGGCTAGGAAATCTGGTGTACAAAGGACTAACCATCCAAGCTGTATCTTATGTTGAAGTCCTCAATTATAACCTTCTTAGCATAAGTCAGTTTTGTGATAAAGGTTATTCCTTGGAATTCTGCAAGGACATGGCATCTCTCAAGAACATCTCCACAAATGAAGTCATTCTCACTAGGAAGAGAATCAGGAACATCTATGAAGTAATGTGGGACAATGTCAAGGAAGCATGTCTAATCAGCAAATTAAAGGTGACACTAACCTTCTATGGCTTTGGCACAAAAGGTTGAGTCATCTCAACTTCAAAACTCTCAACAAGCTGTCCAAAGAAGGGTTAGTAGAAGGTCTTCCCAAAGCTGTATTCAGGAAGGAAAGCATTTGTGATGCTTGCCAAAAAGGAAAGCAAGTCAAGTCCACCTTCAAGGCAAAATCGGCACCCTCAACTACAAGGATATTAAGTGTTATTTACATGCACTTATTTGGCCCTGTTACACCAATAAGTCTAAGTGGAAAGAAATATGTCCTGGTGGTAGTTGATGACTACTCAAGATACACGTGGACAATCTTCCTCAACGGCAAGAAGGAAACTCAAGGAAAACTCACCAACTACATGAAGCTGATTCAAAACCAAGCAAGTCAGACCATTCAGAAGATCAGATCTGACAAAGGCACAGAATTCCTGAATGAAATCATCATTCACTACTGTGAAGAAAACGGAATTCTTCATCAGACATCTGCAGCAAGGACACCTCAACAAAATGGTGTAGCTGAAAGAAGGAACAGAACCCTGAAGGAAGCAGTGAGAACCATGCTAGCAGAAGCTTCCTTACCAAAGAGGTTCTGGGCTGAAGCTGTTAACACAGCCTGCTATACTCAAAATAGGAGTATGATTTATAAAAGGCACAACAAAACTCCCTATGAACTGTGGAACGGGAGAAAGCCTAATATATCATATTTCCATATTTTTGGGAGCAAGTGCTTTGTGTTAAACAATGGGAAGAATCATCTGAACACTTTTGATGAGAAATCAGATGAGGCCATCTTTCTAGGATATTCCATGGTAAGCAAGGCATTCAAAGTCTTCAACAAAAGAACCATGATCACTGAAGAGTCAATACATGTTATTTTTGATGAAAAACATGTGGTTGACAAACCATCAAAGCATGATCATGAGGTTCTGGATCTATCAGACAAGGATGAAAAGTCAATGAAGGAGATAGAATGAAGCCAACAGAATTCATTCCATTCGGAAGTCTGCCTCTGAAGACTTCACAGAGAAATCCGGATTCAGACAATGCTGAGCCTTCCGGAAATTTTGGCCAGCCTTCCAATATTCCGGATCTCTCAAACGACGATAATTCCGGAAATGGCGACCCAGTGCCAATCTATCCGGAAACACCAACAACCTCTGTTCTTCAACCAGAAGCTGAACTAGATCAACCAGTCAATCCCAATCAACACAATCTTCGTTGGTTAAGGGATCATCCTCCTCAACCGATCATTGGAGATATTCAATCTGGTGTTCGCACAAGGAGTGCCCAACAGAATCTAGAAGCTATGCTTGCTTGTTTCATCTCACAAGTAGAACCAAAGAATATTGAAGAAGCTCTAGCTGATTCTGATTGGATCAATGCAATGCAAGAAGAACTCAACCAATTTTCCAGAAATGACGTCTGGAAACTTGTTCCCAGACCTACTCATCAACATGTCATTGGGACAAAGTGGGTCTTCCGGAACAAGATGGATGAAAATGGCGTTGTTGTCAGAAACAAGGCCCGGTTAGTTGCAAAAGGATATTGTCAAGAAGAAGGTATAGATTTTGATGAAACCTTCGCTCTAGTTGCTAGACTTGAAGCTATAAGGCTGTTTCTAGCCTTTGCTGCTCATAAAGACTTCAAGGTCTATCAAATGGACGTCAAAAGCACTTTTCTCAACGGAAACCTCGAGGAAGAAGTTTATGTGGAACAACCTCCAGGATTTGAGTTACAAACTAAGGGAGATCAGGTGTATAGACTCAAAAAGGTGCTATATGGACTCAAACAAGCACCAAGAGCTTGGTATGATACATTGTCTCAATTTCTTATAGACAATGGATTTACCAAAGGAGTCATTGACAAGACATTGTTCAAAATACAAGATGGTGAAGATCTCTTATTGGACCAAATCTATGTGGACGACATCATATTTGGCTCAACTAAGGAAGATCTATGCACTAAGTTCTCAACCCTCATGCAAGGAAAATTTGAGATGAGCATGATGGGAGAACTCAACTACTTCCTTGGCCTTCAAATCAAACAGAGAAGTGAAGGCACTCTCATCAATCAAGCCAAGTATACAAGGGATCTTATCAAGAAGTTCAAAGTTGATCAGAAGTCATCCGTTTCTGTCCCCATGAGTACATCCACCAAGCTTGACATGGATGTAGATGGAAAGGATGTAGATCAAACTCTCTACAGAGGAATTGTCGGATCTCTACTTTATCTTACTGCAAGCCGTCCGGATATCTCATATGCAGTAGGTGTTTGTGCCAGATTCCAATCAAAGCCAAAGGAAAGTCATCTGATAGCAGCTAAAAGAATTCTTAGATACCTCAAAGGAACTCAAAACATGGGATTGTGGTATGCTAAGAGCAATTCATTTGAGTTAGTGGGATACTCAGATTCTGACTTTGCCGGATGCAAAGTTGACCGGAAAAGTACATCTGGTACTTGTCAATTCATTGGTGGAAATCTTGTTTCTTGGTTCAGTAAGAAACAAAACTCCATTTCTACATCAACAGCAGAAGCAGAGTACATTGCTGCTGGTAGTTGTTGTGCTCAAATTTTGTGGCTAAAGCAACAACTACTGGACTATGGAGTCAAGACAAAGGAAGTGACAATCTTTTGTGACAATCAAAGTGCTATAGCCATCTCTCAAAACCCAGTGCATCATTCTCGCACTAAGCACATTGATGTCAAGCATCACTTCATCAGAGATCATGTGGAAAACAAAGATATCAAAATTGAGTATATCTCAACTGAAGATCAACTGGCGGATATCTTCACAAAACCACTAAGTGAAGCCAAGTTTTCCGATTTGCTTCACAAAATTGGTCTAATTCAATTAGACTAAGTGCGGTACACGTGGCAGTTCACTTTCCACGTCTGTCAATATATTGGGTAGGCACGTGGCCTTGGGAATAGTCAAAAAATCCAATCGACACCAGCCGCGCAAATTCGCCTAAACTAAACCCAATCGCCACTATTCAGATCTAAACCGCCCATTCAAAATTTTTCGTCGTCTTCTTCGCGAAAAACTCTCAAGAACCCTAGATGTTTCTCCCTCAAATTCTCACTCAAATTTCTGAGAAAATGAAGGTTGTCGGTGCTAATATTCATTTCCAGAAGTTAGAAGCCAAGTGCTCCTCATCGACATTCTTTCAAAGCTATCTGGAAATGATAGCCGCTCAAGAACTCTCCGAATTTCTTCAAATGGAGATTCGCCTCAAATTCGAGGAAGAAGTTCTTGAATTTTACAGAAATGGAGAAGTCAAAACTGCTCATTCAAAGAAGAACCCACAGAGGACGTTTCCGGTCATCAAGTCCACTGTTGGAGGTACAAAAGTGAAGCTTTCGCAGAAGAAATTGGGAGAAAAGCTTTGCCTTCCCAATTCTGGAACTGAAGTTGGGAAATTTCCAGTCAAAAATCTGGACTAGAACATCATTGGAATCTCTGGGCAAGTTCCTTCTGGCCCAGCGAAGAAAGCAGATCTAAACAACAATTACAAGTTGGTTTTAGAACTGGTCATCGCCTGCCTCGAGTGTGGAAGTGGAGGTCACGCCAATGACATCACCCAGGAGAGAGCCTTCATCATCAACGCTCTCATTACCAAAACTAAGGTAAACTGGGCTGCACACTTTTTCAATTCCATCTCAAAGCATTTGGGAAAGCCCAACCAGAAATATCTCTGTCAAGGACTATACCTTAGGCATATTTTGGAGTCTATGGGTATTGCTTCTAAAGGAAAGAAGTATGAAGAAAGATACTGGTTATACTATCTGTCTTCAAAAGGGGAAAACAGAGCTGGTACTAGTGCCACTGCAGAAGAAAGCTCTTCAGATAACGTCCCACTCATCCATATGACAAAGACTACCAAAAGGAAGAAAGTGGTGTCTCCCTCCATTGAAGCACCACAGAACCTTGCCTTGATATGTTTGGAAGAAGAAGAAGAAGTCTCTGACCATGCAGAACTTCAAAGGAAGAAGAAGAGGAAAATCAACTCTCCATCAACATCTGGAAATGTCAATCCGGATGAGTTGAAGGAGAAGGAGCCTGCTGAGGAAACCTCTGCCCAAAACCGGAGTACTCAACAACTTGAAGAAGAAACTCCTCAAGTCCAAAGCCTTCCAACCCCCTCATCTCAGCCTCATACAGATGATGCTGACAATAAATTCTCGCAGCTCTACTATAATTGGAGAGCTTGGAAAGTTAGAAATTCAGCAGAGCAACTGTTGGATTGGGACCAACAGCTGAAGAATGAGGAGATTATCAAGAAGTGCTTAGGAATACCAGACAACCACAACTGTGAAGACATTTTGAATGACTACTGGGTATGGCAAAAGAACCCTGAAGACCTGCATATGGAATACCTGGCCAATACACCAGTTTCAGACTGTGAAGCAGATGATGAAGACACTGCAGTCTTCAAGCCAGTCTTCTCAAAAGTTACAGAAGACCAAGTGGCTCTCACTTCTGTGGAAACAACAGTTGAGGATTTCCAAACATTTCCGGAAACCTCACCTGCCTTTGAAACGGAAACCTCACCTGCATTTCAGGAAACTTCACATGCTTCTGAAATGGTTCTAACTGAAGTTGTTCAAGAGAAGGCAACCTCTCCCCCACAAGAACAGAACCAGGAAACAGCATCAGAAGAAGAAATTCAGGAACTAATCCAATCTCAAGTTTTAGAGACTCTCACAACTCCTGGTGAGATCTCCAATCCTACTGAAACTGAGATCCCGGAGAAGTCAGCAAAAATTCCAGAACAGTCAGCTCTTCCAGAAACAATAGAGCAAGCTGTTGAAGTGCAGAGGAACTCTGGAGAAGTTGAAAAGGAAACTCAAATGGCAGAAGTGGAGGTCTGTCAAACTCCAGTAGCCATTTTTGAAGACCAGAATAAAGCTGAAGAAAGAGACTCCCTCTCTAGGGATATATCAAATTTTGCGCTTGATGAAGCAGAGGGAGAATCTGAAAGAACATTGAAGGTTACTGATGAAGAAGATGTACAAGAGGATGCTGAATCTCTTCCTATGCAACTCTTCCAAAGAACACCATCTTCTCATCAGGTAACCAACTTCCATTTTCATAGCTCTTCCACTCATACCCTTCCGGATGAGATACCGGAAATTTGGACAAAGAAGGTCCAAGGGCTGATTGAATCAGCCTTAGCATCTCAACATGCCTCCTTTAGGCAAGAGATAGAGCAAATGGAAGCCAAGTACACTCAACTGCTAGAGAAATCAGAAGAGAAACACAGCACAGATCTAAAGGAGATAGGTAAAGCAGTAGACAAGACTCTAGAGATCATCTCTCTATTGAGTAACACTGTGAGCAACAGTATGGAAATATATGCCTCTGATAGTCAACTTCAATTCAAAGAATTCAACAAAATCAAAGAGCAAATAGCGAGTGTCACAGTTAGTCTACAAAAACAGATGTCCCTTCTCCAAATGGACATCAAATCAGCCCTAGCAGTAGCTTCAGCAAATCAGGTAGTCATCAAAGACTACTTGAAGGTGATCATTGACAATCAAAAGGAAGCATACAAGCTGTTCAGACTTATTGGTGCACATTCTGGGAACTGCAAGATGGAAGTGATTCTCCAACAACACAGTCCATCTCCAATACCACAGCTCCCTATTGCAGTCAAAGAAGGAGAAGCATCTTATATCCCTTCTCATCTGAACATGACTAATCTGATCCTTGAAGCACAGCAAAGAAATCCGGAAAACTCAGCACAGCACCTATCCAGCTCAGGACTTGATGGAACAGAATTTATAGGTGCAGTTGTTGACCACTTCTCAGATGCTGCTCAATCAGAGGAAAGGCGTGAAAATTTAAGGCGCATCAAAGAACTGTGTGGGAACATGCAGGGCATCAGTGAGGTTGCCGGATCTTCAAAACGCAAGAGGAATTGAAGGTTCTTTTCATCAAACCAGGGGGAAAGTATGTGAAAACACTAATTTGCTTTGATGAAAACACCTTCCTGTTTAAACATTGCTTGATTGGTTTAAACATTTAAACATTGCTTCAACAATTTTCTTAATTATGCTTGATTATGCTTTATCTCAAGTATGATTTTGAAAATTTGTTTTCTGAAGCGCATACATTCAGGGGGAACAAAACTAGTTTTGGCTAATAACTATTTTTGGCTATGAATTATTGATGAGCTCTAAGCAATGGAAGACGGATATCTCAGTTTTGGTACTAAAATTGGAAATCTCTGATTCAGGTACTCTACAAAATCTGCCTTCTTAAACTAAGCTTTAATCCTTAATTCATTTCCAACTAGCTCTAAAAGTACTGGTCCTTAGGATCTTTATAATGTACAGGACTTTGGAAAAATAGTACCACTTTTCTTTTAAAAATAAAATTCATATTTGTTTTGGAAAAATAAAATCGCTTCACCACTTCATAAATTGATGAAGAAGGATGTCAAGTTTGCTTGGACAGAAGCTTGCCAGAAAAGCTTCGAACAATTGAAAGAATGTTTGACTCAAGCACCTGTGTTAATTCAACTAACACCTGGTATTGAATACACAGTTTTCAGTGATGCATCACACCAAGGACTTGGGTGTGTACTAATGTAGAAAGGCAAGGTCATAACTTATGCATCACGACAATTGAAACCTCATGAATGTAATTATCCAACTCATGATTTGGAGTTCGTAGCTGTTGTTCTTGATGGAGAGAGGTGTTACGGTATCAATGCATCATAAATATTTTTATTCTATTACTCCCTCCGTCCCATTTTAAATTATCTGTTTGCTTTTTTTCTCCGTCCCAAAATAAATTGCCTGTTAGTTGTTTTTGTAAAATATTAAAAATAAAATACCTAAACTACCCTTAAAATAAGTCATTTTTTCACCTTATCTTCTCATTCATCATTACCCCTCTTAAAAAGTAATGTCACTTTTGAAAAATCAATTTTATTTTTTATTTTCCTTAAATATGTTCAAAAGTCAAAAAAGGCGATTTAAATTGGGACGGATGGAGTAACTTTTGTTATTCTATTGAAATACTGCCATATCGGAATTCCACAATATGTTATTCTATTAACTTTTATTTTTTAATCACTTATCTAATACTCCGTATATAATTGTACTATACGTTAATTTTTCTAGCAATTTTGATTATTAATATAATTAACCTTAAAAAATTAGTAACGTAAAATTGGAGAAAATTATATTAAATTATTATGCATAACATACATAAAATGAAGTGAGTGCGTTTATTAAAGTCACTTAAGTAAACACACAAAATAAAAATTACATATAATGAAACTAGAAGCACAACAAATTAAAATAACATAACAAGACATAG